GAGGAAGAGGGGGTCAATAGGAAGTTAGAAAGAGAGAAGAGCGAGAGGGAAAACAGACATGCATACCAACTATCAGGTGAGAAAGAGACACAAGGCCTGAGAGAAGTGAAAAAAGACACGTAAGAAAGATTCCCTAAAGAATACTGGTAGCTACACAGAGACAGACCAATGAAATCATGAAACAGGGTAAGTCAGAAAGCAAACACAAATGTGATCAAAACAAACAGTCAAAATGATAAAATCAAAAGTCAAAATAAGAGATCAGACTAAAGTCACTTCAGCTCTGATCTCCAGCCTCTCCCCTTTGTTTTTCATTGCAGGCAGCTAGATTTACTTGCAGTTTGGGTTTTTTTTTTTTTTTTATCCTGCTGCTTGGGAATTGCTTTTGTCTGATTCAGTGTAGGGGTGGGGCTTTGTCTCCTTTTTAGCGACGTTACCTTAAGAACCGAGGTGGGGGTTGTTGATAGGTGGGCGGAGCAATGGAAATCTCTGCCTGGAGAATGACTGAGGTTGCAGTTTCACTTTCACAGATCCTTTTCTCTCCAAATGTCTGGGTCCCCAAGCTTGGGGTCATGCGCTGAGTGCCTCAGCCAGGGTGGGCCCAGAGCTCCAAAGCTCCAAAGGGCAGGCGGTGAGCAGTGAGAGTGGCCCTGGGCCCCCCACAGGGTACTTCAGCCAGGAATGGGACCGGTGTCTCTGAGGGGCGGGTGCCCAGAGCCTCCCTGAGTGACCAGCAGCTTGGTGCTGGGTGCTGGGTGAGAGACGATATAGCCACGGATGGAGCCGAGACCCGAGACTCCCATGCAGACGGGAGTCACATATGGTGGAACAGCAGCAGCCAGGGGCTGCAATATCCAGCCCTGCGTGGGACCGAAGGTCCCCGGTCCTCGGACCACTGCGGCTGGTGGTGAGCTGGGGGATAGGGGAAGAAAAGTAAGAGTCTTTCTGGGAACTCACATTCTGAGAATCTCACAAGTCCACCTATGCCATCGCCATCTTACCGGAACCTCCGCAATACATCTTGATAAGTCATTCCGATTCATTTTTCTTGATCTATGTTTCTTTGCCGGTTGAGAGAGTGCAACTTGACCTTTAATTGCTGTGAGGATTTGGTCTCTGTGCTGCAAACAAAACCCCAAAAAGCCTCAAACTCAGTTTTAACAGCCTGAAGGATGATGGGGTGATTATGCTGTGTGTGACCCTGAGGAACTGTGACTGTAGATTACAGATCCTAGAATGAGTTACCCCTGGTTTACCTTCTTTGAGATCAGGAGAATTGTAGACAAAGTTCTCCCAGAATGAAATAGGGCATGATGTTTGTTGACTTCTAGGCTGTTCCCTCCATTTGATTGGAGGACTAAGAAGCTTCCAAGCAACAGTTCTCAAAGTGTGATCCTCCAATCTGGAGCACTTTGATCTGGGAAGTGGTTAGACATGCAGATTCTTGGGACCCACCCCAAACCTAGGGAGTTGGAAACTCTGAGAGTGGGACCCTGCTATCAGTGCTTCATGATTATTTTAGTAAATGGAGGAGTCTTTAGGGTTCTCTAGGTATAAGATCATATCACAGCATACAGAGATAGTTTGATTTCTTCTTTTCCAATATGGATACCCTTTATTTCTTTCTCTTTCCTGGTTACTCTGGCAAGGACTTGCTATACTATGTTGAATAAGAGTGGTGAAAGGGGGCATCCTTGCCTTGTTCCAGTTCTGAGAGGAACGCCTTCAACTTTTCTCTATTCAGGAAGACATTGGCTGTGCATTTGTTGTATATGGGTTTTATTATTTTGAGGAATGTTCCCACTATGCCTATTTTTCTGAGGGTGTTTATCATGAATTGATGCTGAATTTTATCAAATGCTTTTTCTGCATCTTTTGAAGTGATCATATGATTTTGTTTTTAGTTCTGTTTATGTAGTAGATTATGTTTTTTGACTTACATATCTTGAACCATCCTTGCATCCCTGGCATAAAACCCACTTGGTCATGGTGTATTATATTTTTATGCACTGTTGAATTTGGTTTGCTAATATTTTGTTGAGGATTTTCACATCTGTGTTCATAAGGGATATTAGTCTGTAGTTTTCTTTGTTTATTGTATCTTTTCCTGGCTTTGGTATCAGAGTGATACTGGCCTCATAGCATGAGTTAGGGAGGATTCTGTCCTCTTCAGTCTTATGAAATAACTTTAGTAAAATTGGTACCCATTCTTCTTTGAAGAGCTGGTAGAATTCGGCTGAGAATCCATCAGGTCCTGGACTTTTGTTGTTGGAAGACTTCTAACTACTGTTTTAATCTCAGTGGTGTTAACCCTGGGGTGGGTTGGGGAGAAGTGGCAAGTGACTTTTAAAGGGGCCAGGATTTTCCTTTTGGGGTGATAAAAATAGTCTAAAATTTAACAATAAAAACACTCTAAAATTATGATGATTGCACAACTTTACAAATAGACTAAAGCTAGCGGTTTATGTGCCTTAAATGGGTGAATTGTGTGGTGTGTTAATTACATCTTTTCTTTTTCTTCTTTTTTTCTTAGTACTCATTATTGCTCTGTTTGGGGTTTCTATTTCTTCCTGATTCAAGTTGTGGGGGTGTATGTTTCCAAAAATATATCCATTTCCTCTAGATTGTCTAGTTTGCATAAAAGTGTTCCTAGTTGTCTCAGGTGTCCTTCTGAATTTCTATCATATCAGTTGTAGTGTCTCAATTTCCATTTCAATTGAGCTAGTTTGAATCTTCTCCCTTCATTTCTTAGTTAATCTATCTAGTGGTGTATCAATTTTGCTTATCTTTCCAAAGAACTGGCTTTTTGTTTCATTGATCCTTTGTATTGTTTTTTAATTTCAATTTCATTAGTTCTGCTCTGGTCTTCGTTGTTTCTTTTCTTCTGCTGGATTTGGTTTGTTCATGTTTTTCTAATTCCTTGAGGTGTGATGTTAGGTTATCAGTATGAAATCTTTCACTCTCATTAATGTAGGCCCCATGCACTATAATTTTTACTCTGAGCACAGTGCTTAATGATTGTTTTAGGAAATGTTCTTCCAATTCAATAACAGATAAGTTTGCCTATTTTAGATTGATACCCGAGATGGCTAGTCTTCTGAAATAGAATTAAATGTTAGGGTTTTTAAAATACATAATTCTTCTCCTCCTGTGTGGTCTCTTTGCTGACATGTATACTAGCCAGTGGTATGAAAGATGTCATCCTATGTTTAATTCTTTGTGTGGCTCCCTTAAGTATTTGGAAGAGGCTTATAAACACCTCTTCTCTGGTGATCGAAGAATGAAACTATTTTTGCCTCTTTTGTACCCACATTTTCTCTTCTCCATTAGTATGATCTGGATTTTAAATCAAGATCATTTAAATTACCATTTATTATTAAATATTTTCTTCCTAGGATTAGTTTTGGTGACAGGAGTCACTTTGTTAAATATTTAGTCCTCTCATGGAGTTTAGTATTTGCTGCCAGTCATGATTCTTTTATGCTGCAAAGTCCGCCTTGGGTTTTAAATGTTGATTTATCTCTCAGATGAGGTGAAATAGAATTTCAAATATGAAACTAAATTGCACACTTGAAAAAGTTTATGTAGCATTTTCTCAGCCTTTACTTGTGTGAGTCCACTTTTGTAAAATCTTTGTTGACCCATGACTGTGGCTCAGGATTACAGGCCTGTACCACCACAGTTCATTAATTTTTGATTTATTATAGAGACTAGGTCTAGCTATGTTGCTCAGGCTGGTCTGGAAATCCTGAGCTCAGTCAATCCCCGCATCTCAGCCTCTCCCAAAGTGCTGGAATGACAGCCATGAACCACCATGCCCACCCCTGATATTAATTCCACATAGGCAGGTTTCGGGATGAGCTCTCGGATGAGGGCTGTAGTGATGTTTCTACTGCTGCTTCCATCTTGCAGGCTAGAAGCATGCCTGCTCACCTCCGTCTGCTGCCAGGTTGTGGCTTCCATGCTCTTCAGCAACCAAAGCCTGACCTACCTGGATCTGAACAAGAATGACTTCAGCATCCACGACATACTGACCCTATGTGAGGCCCTCGAAAACCAAGAGCAGAGAAAGGACATCCTTTTGTAAGTCTCTCCCAGGTTTCCTGTGTACAAACAACCACCCCAGAGAAGCTCTTGTAAAAAGTGAGGGCTGGGCATGGTGGCTCGCACCCATCAACCCAGCACTTTGGGAGTCCAAGGCAGAAAGATCGCTTGAGCCCCCAGTAGCTTGAGACCCACCTGGGCAACATAGTGAGACCTCATCTCTACAAAAAAAAAAGTGAGCCAGGCATGGTGTTGCATACCTGCAGTTTCAGCTATTCAGGAGGCTGAAGCAGAAGGGTCGCTTGAGGCCAGGAAGGTCGAGGCTGCAGTGAGCCATGATTGTGCCACTGCAATTCAGCCAGGGTGATAGAGTGAGATGCCAACTCAAAAAAGAAAGAGTGAGATGCAGGATGTAGAATTCTGTTATTGCAGATGTTGCTACCATCCTGCTCTCATTTCTGGGAACTCACAGTTTCCTCAGTGTAACTGTTCATACCCCAACCCCTGTTCTTATCTGTTTGGAAGTGTTGCCCTGGGTTCCCATGTCTGATATTTTCTGTTCTTTATCTTTGTTTCTTTCTTTTATTCATCTTCTTTTCTTGTCTTGATAATGGAGTTTGTTGTTACCATTCACCAGGTATATGGTCGTGAACAAATTAGTTTACCTTTCTGGGCCTCAGTTTCCTCATCTGTAAAGCTGGGATGGCATCTTCCTTCATGGGGGGGATTTTATGAAGACTGAAAGAAAATATACACATGCGGCACTTAGCACAGTGCCTGACATATTATGTCCTCAACCAGTGGTGGATTCTGGGTGATGGCTATGATTATGCCTGGTGTTACTGCTATGTAACCACTCCATCAAGACTTAGTCACTTAAAACAACACTCAGTATCTCACACAACTTCTGGGGGTGGGTCCGAAGGTAGAGAGTTGTCTCAGTTAATTGTTCCCAGTCAGTTTCAGATCAAGTTCCTTGTTCTGTTCTTCTCCCACTTCTCACGATTGCACTTGACTAGTCTTATTTTTTTTTTCCCTGAGAGTCAGAATTATGAAAGCAGCTTGGCCGGAAGGCTCCAGCACAGGGTCTCTCATGTGGTCTCAGCTAAGCTGTTGGCTGGGGCATTCGGGAGCTGTTGAATCTGCTGCCCAGCTCACTCATGCAGCTGTGGACAAGAGGTCTCAGGTGCTCTCCATAAGGTTTCTTGTGACGTTCCTCTTATTCCTCCAGAACAAGAGACAGAGAGACAGACAGTGGTTGAGAGAGATGGCAGCTGGGAGAGACAATGACTAGGAGAGACGGTGGTTGAGAGAGACAGCATCTAGGAGAGATGGAGGCTGGGAGAGATGGTGGCTGGGAGAGACAGTGGCTAGGAGAGATGGTAGATGAGAGAGCTTACTGGGAACCCAGAATAAAAGCCACTGTTTATTACTTAATCTTGAAAGAAACACCTCTTCACTGATTCCTTGTTCTGTGGGCCATATAGACCTCCCCTTGTCCAAGGAGAGAGGGACCCCACAAGGGTGTGAGTAGGAGGAAAGGAAATCCTGGAGGCCATCTGACAGTGGCCTACCACATCCGGTGAAGGCTGGACCCCAAGGCCCTCTGAATCCGTTCCTGAACTCTCCCAGCTGCCCTGTCGGCCTTGGTCTATTTCGTGGGGCCAGTGGATGGTCTCCTGGGTGGTCCATTTCTCTCCTAGAACTGTTTGCATGCTTTTCTAGGACAACTAGATGTAACAGAGCAAAACCTGGTTTTTATCCTTCCCGGGGTGAAGAAAGAGAGTGGTGAAGCAGATATGATGGCAAGATTAGAGGGCCCCGCTCTGGGGAGGGACTTCCTGAAGATCATACAGGACTGGGATTCTTAGTGTTGCAATGAAGCAGTCATGCTCAGTTGACCTTGTTACCCTCTGGATATTTTTTTTCTCCAGTGAAAAATTGGGAAACAGTTGTCTATTTTGTGAACCATTTTGAGTCTAGGGTGGCTCAGTTAGTTCTGGAGAACAGTGCTGAGCATGACCTACAAATAGCTCCCTCAAAGTTATGGAGTGCAGTGGCTGGGCATGGTGGCTCACACCTGTCATCCCAGTACTTTGGGAGGCTGATGCAAGATTGCTTGAGCCCAGCCTGGGCAACATAGCAAGGCCCTGTCTTTAAATATATATATTTATAAATTTTTTAAAAAGCTGTGGAGTGTCATACGTTGATTGTAGATTAGTCACCAAATTGAGGACACCAGGGCAGGGGAGGTCCAGCCCATGTCTCCCATGGCTGCTAGACTGTCTCTGAATGTGTCATGTAAGCATCTCCTCTGGGAAATGTGTCTCACCCCTAAAGGTATTGGGAGAATTTAATTAAAAATGTGTATGAACACAATTTGCAAGATTTCCAGTGTTATTTATTTACTAGTAGACTTGGTACATCAACTTTTAAGGAAAAAAAATCCTGTTCCTTAACATGTCTGGAAAAAAGTATCCAGAGGAAACATTCAAAAAGGATAATATAGCAAGTACTATTAGAAGCATATCACCTCATGTTTAAAGAACTCTAAAAATGAAGTGTGCTCTAAGCTTTTTCAGGCTCTACATTTTTAAAGTAGTTGTGATAGCATTTAGAACTCAACTCAAATATCTGGAAAGCAATCATAATGCTTTTTTTTCCTCTTGAAACAGTCATTTTTTTTTGAGTTGGGGTCTCACTCTGTCACCCAGACTGGAGTGCAGTGGCACAATCATGGCTCACCGCAGCCTCAACCTCCTGGTCTCAGGCTGTCCTTCTGCCTCAGCCTCCTGAGTAGCTGGGACTACAGGGACACACCACCATGCCCAACTAATTTTTTTTATTTTTTTGCAGAGGTGAGGTCTCATTATGTTGTCCAGGTTGGTCTTGAACTCCTGAGCTCAAAGGATCCTCTAGCCTTGGCCCCACCCCCAATCCCCACCACATGCTGGGATTCCAGTCATGAGCCACCATGCCCAGATTTGAAACAGTCATCTTTTTCTACACAATGTCATGACCAGCAACACCCAGGATGGTTTTTCAGCTCTCTGAAGGAAATTTGTTTCAAAAGTCAGAGCAGGTAGCATCCTAAGTCCCAGCCCCATTCACGCTTATGAGGTAGACACAAAGGTTCATCCAAGGTCAGACTCTCACACATGACCCAATGCCTGGAGCTCATCACAATGACCTCCAGATAGCACCTGCAAAGCTATGGAATGCCATAGCCCAGCATAGTGGCTTGTGCCTGTCATCCCAGCACTTTGGGAGGCCAGGGTAGGAGGATCACTGTAGCCCAGGAGTTCGAGACCAACCTGGGCAACATAGCTTCTTTACGACCTCAACTTCAAAAAAATTTTTTATAAAAAACACAGAAAGCTACAGTGGTTCCTAGCAAGTGAAATTCTGGAACTGCCCAGGATGCCCTGCTGGGGTCAGCAGAAAACCTTGCTGGGGTCAGCAGACTCACAGGAAGGACAGGAAGGCATTGTAAGGCCAGAGAACCTGCCCAGTGACATGTTCCCCAAGGGGCCCCAGAGACACCTGCTTTGCTACAGTGGGAATGGAATATGATTGTGAGAAGGCCCCTGGCATCACTGAAGCAAAGAGGACTGAAAATGGGACAGTGATATCCAGCCTTTGTGGCCTAGTATGTCACATGGGGCCCCTTAAAAGTCCTCTAGGTCCATTCGTGTTGCCACGAATGGTGGGGATTTTTAAGGCTGTATAGTATACCACTGTGTACAGTAAGTCCCCTACATACAAATCTTCAAGTTGTGAACTTTCTTTGGTTTCCTGTTTGTGAGTTCACTTAAAATAATGATCTTTCTCATGGGTCTGTATACCACATTATCTTTATCTAGTTAGTTTTTGGTGGGCACCTAGGTTGGTTCTGTGGTTTTGCTATTGTGACTCAATACTACAATTATATGTTAATTTTTAAATGTTAGGTATGGGGAGACCCCAAAATCCCCAAAATTTATTTAGAGAAAATAGTGTACTTATTCTTACATGCTTAAACTTTCAGTCACCTTCATCAAGTTCCGTCAGCTTGATGCAATATAACTACCAAGACACTTTTTCCACTGCTCAAAACAGTTTTGAACTCATCAAGTTTGATGCCTTTTTGCTTTTCTGCTGCTTTTTGTTTCACCTCTTCCACATCAGCAAAACATTTCCCTTTGAGGACTTTTTTCACCCAGGGAAACAAAATAAAAGTCACCTGGGGCGAGACCGGATGAATAAGGAGGGTGGGGCATGGAGGCCATGCCATTTTTGGTTAAAAACTGCTGAACACTTTGCGCAGTGTGGGTAGGTGTGTGTGTAAATCACCCATCATGAAATGGGCAAACACACTGAAAGAATCTCCAAAAAAAGTCATGGAAGTTGAACACAGCCTCTCCCAACAATGCAAGCTGGTGCACAGATGCCCATGGGTTTCTAGAACACTTACCTAGCAGGGAATCCTGTACCACAAGGGGCCTACCCTCCAAAAACTAATTCCAGTTTTTCTGGGGTTTCCCTTGTACTGTTTCCTGGCTCCCAGCCACAGGCATTTCAATTCAGCTGGATTGGAATGTGGCCTAGGCATCACATTTTAAAAGTTTCTGGAGTGGTTCTAACCTGCAGCGAAGCTTGGGAACTAATGACATAGCAGGTTATGTTACAGGACCGGGCTTCCTAGTCGGCATGAGCATGAAGGCATTCTAACCAAGCAAAGGCCAGGCAGACGTGACTACCATGAGGGACCGTGTAGAGTCAGGGTTCTGTGCTGATGGCTGATAGAGTGTGGTGTTGCTGGAGATGATGTCAGTGAGCATCTGTTAAAAATGGAAGGTGCAGTAGCTCATGCCTGTCATTCCATCACTTTGGGAGGCCAAGGCAGGCGGATCACTTGAGCCCTGGAGTTTGAGACCAGCCTGGGCAATGTGGTGAGTCCTTACCTCTACAAAAAAATTCAGAAATTAGTTGGGTATGGCAGTGCATGCCTGTAGTC